AGCATTTATTGTTCTCTGAATTAATATACGGTAGCACTAAGAAAAATCTGAGATGAGCGAAAATTGAAATACACGGTATTAACCTGGGATGTAGAATGTTGATGATTAAGTGTTAAGAAGTGAGGATAAACTCAGAATCTTTCATAGTTGCCATTTTATTATTGTTGTTGAAAATCTATCAGTCTTTTCACTTGTATTATATTTGTCATGTTTTTCTATTTTTTCTTGCGCTGAATATTCTTAATTACGAATGTAGTCGAACTGTCAATATAAATACTTGCATTAATAAAGTTAATGATAATTTTTCTGAAAATGAAAGCTCCTTGTCATCATTTTTTTTAAATAACAACACTTGTTACATGAATAAAAAAATGGGAATTATTTTGAAAATGGAACAGTGTTAATGTTTTCTTTGTTTAAACTGTTTTATGAGTTTTAAAATATGGATGGTCATGAATATTCTTTTTGTATTTGCTAAAACTTTTAGTAGACAAATGAGAGAAAATGTAGTGTTGGCAGTGGGAAATATTTGCAATGAGCAATTAATTAATCAACATGCAAAATCTTATACCTTCTGAAAGACATTTCAGTAATTTGCTCAGTGCAAATTACTTGCTGAAATTTTGCAAGGAGAATTATTTGTCAAGCGTTTATGCAAGGTAACAATAATTAAATTAATGAATGAAAAGTATTACAAGAAGTGAATTATGCAAGCAATAAAGAACTGATTTTTATATAAATATACTACTAACCAACCTATTATCTTGTGAAAAAACAAAGTTGCAAGGAAATTGCTGTATGCAAAATAGCATAAAACTAATAAGTTAGGCAAATGTAATGAATAAATTGTTTTGTTTGTTTGCGATGAGAAACATTTTATTAAAAATAGTAATTATGCAACTATTTATGATGATCTTGGCTAGGAATACGGCTCTTACTTTAATAGATGCTATGTTCTGCGTGAAAGCGACGCTTGTATGTTCGTTTTATGAAAGAAGAAAAAATTTGAAAGTCTTAGAAATCTATTTTTCCCTTTTTATTTTTCATCTGCGTAATATTAATTTTATAGATCAATCCAGGATTTATCTTAAATCACTTGCAGCAATCATTTGCTCATGCAATCTGCACTTTATCTTTTGACGCTTGTCCCTATCAATCAATTTTATTATCGAATAGATCAGAAACGAATGACAGGTTAGGTAGTGGACTTTTTCTAGCTACCAGCACGAAGAAATATCGCAAATTTTGAGAGTATCAGAGACAGAAAGAAAAAATTAGACAAATTTGGGAGGGTTGAGTTATTCTAGATAGGTGAAAGCTAGTATAAAATGAGTGCACTTATGATCTCATTTTGTTGACCTCTCTGTATTTTCTTACAGTCTTACCAAACATACATCAGGTGACCTTTGGTACTAAAAGTGTGCAAAAATATCTGTGCAAAACCCTAGTGTGCAGAACCTCAGGTATCGTCTAAGATACACCATTCACATCTTTTCTTGATCATAGCATGTAGCTCGCGTTAGTGCTATCCTGTCATCTTATTGAGTTTATTCGCTCTCATCAATAATTGTTCCCCACTGTAATTAATGCTAATAAAGTGCTGTCTCATGTTAATTTAGTGCAGTCTACTTTACCTTAATAGATGAATTTTCCCAGTTTGTTTTGCGTTGAATTCAGTTCCCAAATGTCAGCTAATTTCTAATCTCACAATTGTTTCTTTGTGTAACGTTGAAGTGTCTTTAATGAATAACTGACTTGTTTATTTACTAAACATATCCTGCGGTCAGCACAGATTTGACCAGATAAAATCTTGTCATGTACATATTTAATATCAAGTTTAAGTTTCTCAGTAATGTCATTCATTGCCCACTCCTGATAGATAGAGTGGCAACAAATTTTCCAGTTAATTGCCATTTTTTAGCCGTTAAATACAAATTTTAAAGCCCCAAAATCTGTAATTGAAAAAGTTGTGATGAAACTTTGTATTAAAATTTTAAAAGGATATAAACACTGCTCGTTAAAAAAATGCAAGTGTCGCATAGCAAAAAATAAATTTCGCACAGACTTTTTCCCACATTCGTTGAATTGACCTTCAATCTTGTCTCTTTATTTAATGCATAGAGAGAGGCAATCAGAAGCGAATATTTATTGTATTGTAAGGTTAACATTTCGCAGAGCATAATTTCTCACTTGAAATTTGTATAACACAGCTTTAACGAACAAATTATGTGATAAAACTTATTTTCAGAAAATTTTGAAACAATTTTGCGTAATGCTGGAATAAAGCAGCGATCAAATGCTACTCTATACTGACATGTAAGAATTTGAAAGTTGCTGTGAGTTTTAAATAATTGGAAATTGAGTATTTGCTAAGAAGTAAAAATAAGTAAGAAAATATAATATGCTTAATTTATGCATATTCGCAACTACTTTCTTGTATTGACTCAAAATGAAGTATCATCAATGATACAAAGTAAGAGTAAATACAAGGACGTTTTACTGCACCTTTTAATGATGCATTATTGCATTTTTCTTGCAACAGAAATAAAATAAAGACCAAAGAAGCTATTTTCCTTGAAGGTAACTTTTATTGATTCCTATAAATTTCATTTAACTCTTTACAGTCTTTACCAATACTGTCATAATCATGTGGCATTTAGTGTAATTAAGTATTACATTATTCGATATATGGTAATTTTAGGATCACTCTTGCAGAGTAATGTTGCCTCTAGTATTCAATCAGTGAGTAAATGACATTTTAGCATTACAAATGCTGCTATTAACTTTTTATCTTATCAGAAAATTTGTAAAATGATATGACGACGGGCAAAGGTCGTTATATGTTCATTGATGCTAGAGATCCTCCTCAGTTCATGATTGAATTTAACCAAATTGTGCAAATTTAGCAGCGCATCTGAAAGAAATTTATTTGACAGAAATTATTGGTAAATATTCTCCAAAAGTTACTGTCAACGTCAGTCTTGCTGAATCAGTGAAATTATTTGCAACTCAAACACTATAATCTTATACTTTCAGCCCTGAACAACAGTAACAATCTATCTATCCTGTTACTCGTTCACTTTTATTACAATATGCAAGCATATTTACTTGTCTTACTTTTACTTTGAGTGATGAAAATTTCCATTTAACGATAATAATTATAGTGTTATAATCATAGACATATAAATAGAATATTAGTTCATTTTTTTCGTGTTTAATAATTAAGCAAACTGTAAGGATAAGTGTCGAATTGGAGGGAAAAATTGAAGTAAGAGAATATCACGTAACGGATCATATTGTACAGAGCGATCTGTTGAAATTAAATAGTACCGTCCAGTTTACTTTTGTTTTGGAAAATACTCCTCTTTGCATTTTTACAATAACAATTTTTCTTTTCATAATTTTTATACTACTTTTCTATCATTACTACCATTATTACCATCACTGTCATACGTAGGATATCCATCTTACGCTATTAACTCAATTAACATTACTGTTATCTTTTGCATATTTACTATCGTCATTACTGTTATCATTATTATGCTCGTAACTGCTGATGAAGATGAAAGAAATTAATGATAATGTTAGTATTGTCAATAATATATGAATGAAAAGTTGCGTTTTAGCAACGTAAGTTTGCGCCAAGCGCAAGTTTTGTTTACTAAGCGATGAAAGAGAGAAAATTTTTATGAAGTCTTTTTATTTAATCGCTTACTTTGCTTCACTCATCATCTGTACTAACTCTGTTACCTTATAAATTGCACTGCTAATTTCTTCAAGCAAGTTGTCTTCACTTTTTTTAATCGAAATTATCATAGTTATGATTATCATATCATTGGTGATATCACGATTATCACTATGAATTATTGCTCACATAAATTTTATTTTTATCCCACCTGTGCTTCATATTACTAAAAGTGGTGGTGAAAATCATTAGAAACTTTAATTTTCTCAGAATCATACTGAAAAAAAATTCTTTTTCTTTTTTTTCAAAAACTGCTTTTATCCATGCACAAGTCATCAGTTTTAGTTTATTGTATATCGTTTTGATTATATTTTTTGTACACTTTTCGTAGCTATCTATCACTTTTTTCAATCTTTACTACTTCTTTCTTATTGTTTTAAAATGTAATCACACACGCAATTAATATCAGTTAAAAAATATTTTCATTTAATGTAAGTTTTATCTGTTACTTATATTCTAATTACTTTACTTTGTGTTCAGCATTCACGAGTATGTTACTTATTTATATTTACAGATTATAGCACTTCTTACATGACCTTTAACCTAATCATTATGTCAACAAGATTTTCATCATTTTTATTAGATTTGTCGACAATTTTGATTTTTTCAACTGCAAAGTGATACTTTCATTAGAAGTAGTTAATGGGAGTAACATTTGTTTACATTAACATTATTTCGCTGCATCGTCTGCTATACTTATACATTTCTGTTAGTTACGTGTTATTACTCGGCTTAGTTATTACTTTACATATGTCATATTCGCTGTATCGCCATTGAAACGGTCTCATAGCTGGATGACTAAAAAGTTGCCTCAATTTGAATGTCTTCACGTTACTGCGTGTTTTTGTTCAGTTTTTTTTTTTTAATTAACTGTAAACTTTGCTTGTGTGTATTCTTTTGTGTAGTTATTGACGTGAGTTCTTTAAATCGCTGAAAAAATACTTCATTATCATTTTTATTGTAACACTTACTCTGGCAACTGTTTGATATTTCAGAAAGTACTACTTGTCGACAGAAAATGTAACAAAAGTGCATGTCAATCGGCTCGTGGTGCAACTTATCAGATTTATATTTATCACACTGTACTTTATGAAACAATGGAGAAAACACGACGAAATGATAGAAAGTCTAAGAAAATTTTTATATATTCTAAATTTTGGGTCAAGTCATTAATCACACTATTATCCAAAATTTAGTTTTTTTTCTAATTTATCGGGTTTATTCCGTAAATTTGGTCATGATCTCAACAGAAGCTATGATTAACGATGAATTTGTAAAAAGCAGTACTTTGGAGTACGAAGACTGCGACATGGAAGTAGAGAATGTAAATGGTGAATTAATTTCTGCGTGTAAAATTATTATTGCTAGTTTTTATTATCATTTCAGAGAATTAGATTCTATCTTCTCTTGAAGTATATCATAGAGTTCATTTTTAAATCTTTACTTTTGTGTAGAGAATTGATGTTATTAAATCCCTACACAAAAGCAAAGATTCAATAACATTACTGACTGCTCTTCATGGAGTAGCTATCTTTACAATAATATTGTAAGCTCATAAATCAGTTTTCAAATGCTGTATTGAAAAGAAAAGAGTGATTAGTAAACAGTAAAAGCACTGATAAAAATATTACCTTAACATTGCGATCGATATTAATGATGATATTGACAGCAATAATGATAGTAATTTGCGAAAAATTTTAGAATCCGGTGTAAACAGTTCTGCTGCAGTGAAGAAAGAAAGCGACTCAAATAATTGTACGCATTTTGTCTTCACATTTTATTGCTTTTATGCTGAAATAAACAAAGTTGTAAGTGTGGGAATTGTAGGAATAAAGTATGCCATATGCAATTTTTAGGTGCGTGAGAAGAAAGCATTAACTTATGTTTAACTTGGATTAGCTTAGTTTGCTAGTAAATATAAGTGAAGATCGCTGGTGTAATTAATGATTAAAGTAGAAAAGGTGATAAATAGTTTGGTAGTTAGACAGATACGATAGATGGATTTATCACAATGGACATAAATAAAATGAGTATAAATGTGATTTTACAAATCAGCTGTTGCAGTTAGCTAAATGGGTTATGCATAATTTTTTCTGTATTATTTTCAAAAAATGAGGTAAGATTATTCGAAATGTGATTTTAGATTATCTGTTTTGTTCACTTTCTTCTTGTAATAAAAAGTTTTTGTGAATGAATTAATGTTGCAGGTAATGAAGTTAAAGAAGATGGTGAAGTAAAAGCAAGTACTTCCAGCAGTAATTTGTTTTTCAATGAACTGTTTGAGAGTACTGCTCAGCGACATAAAGGATGTCGAGAATCTAAGATTCTGGAAACATCAATTGCAAATTTGAAAAAGAAATTGCAAATTCAAGATGAAACGGACTTCGAATCCGACATCTCTATGAATGAGCCATGTGGGTTTGTTATGACATGCTTTGCTAGCTTGACAATGATAAGTTGATAAGTCATGGACGTAGTCGGATTTGATGAACGGTTATTGTTTAAAAAATAGAGAACAACTCTATCGTTCTTTTGTTGCGTTCATGAATTTTATAGCGAAATAAAATAAATGTTAAGGCAAAATTGAAGAAAACCACCTGCCACAGTATATTGTCTTTGTTGTAGAGTTCAAATAAATGAGAAGCTACGAAGGTTGAGAAAAAAATTAGGGCAAAACTATGTAGCAGTGAATAGTTAGTTCTTCACAATTACTCGTGCTTTGCCTGTATTGTTGTCAAGATGTTTAAAAAATGTGTGAACTTGAAGAACGATCTTGTATGTGTGGATAATGTTTGAATTAAGAGTGGCATTTAAATGAAGACTTATAATCATAGTAAAATTTTAATTGAGTAAATTTTTGTTTCCAATCCTATTCAGAGATCAAATCAAATTCAGGCTCTAAAGTTGGATCAATAGCAGCATGGCATAGAGAACCCTTAGATATTAGTAGTCGAACAACAAATACAAACGCATTCGACATGGAAAACTGTTTACATCATGATGACGAGGTAGAGCTACAAGGCCAAACAGCTGTCGGTAAGTAATCGCAGTAGAAAAATTGTTTCTGATTTCATTTTGAAAATTCAAAGGAAATTACATGCATAAGGCGTTATTGTTCTTGTTTCCTTACTGATTTCCATTTTTGATTCATTCACGCATACATTTTCTGATTTTCATTACTAATTTTTTCATTACAGTTTTGCAGTCCAAAGCTTGCTTTATTCATTCCATTGCTTCCAATATTTTTTATTAAAAAATCAAATATATCATCTATTACCACTTCCGTATTCATGTTGAGAAAATATTAAAATGATGTATTTAATTAATTTTTGACCTCATTAAAAATAATTAGTTCTACAGTGTGTATCAACAATTTTTAAAAGTCTGTTAAAAATGTGCTTGATTTTGAAGAAAATGCAATGTTGTATGAAAGTTTTAGAAAGAAGTTTGGCTGCAATGTCAAAATCGAAATGTAGTACCTCTTCACGTAATTCAGTAAATGACATTGATGATGAGGAAGATGGCGGAGAACTGAAAAGTGATGCAATTATGGAAAGGATTTTTGGAGAAAGCAGTAACACTTTTATCATTTTTTCTTTACTTTTGAAAATTTGATTAAAATGTCAAAATTTCACGTATTCGTGTTCTAAACTGTAAATTGATAATATTTCAAAAAAACACACATACGTGAAGTTCTAGTATGTGTTTTAACTCTGTTAAAACTTGATCATTCTTATATATATATATGTTTAACAACGCATTTTTGTTCATTACATTTCTTCACTCCCTCAAGAAAATTATGTTTACAAAGAAAATTCATGTTGCAAGAAAAGGTTTCCGACTTTTATGTGATCAAAAATAAATAATGCTGAAATGTTAGTAGTACTGTTAACTCTCAATTCCAGAAAGCGATACTTTCAGATGTGACATTGTCTGCGGCTTTACGAAGAAAGCGACAACGTCGAAATCCTGTGTGGACATATTTTGTGGTAGAGGAGGGATTGGCAACGTGCAAGTATTGTAACTATTGTACGAAATCTGTCTTTAGCACTAATCTGAAGGTACATCTGAGGACACACCATCGTGACCTCTTCGAAGAAGTTAGTCCCAGTTTTTCTTATAACATTTATTTCTAGCAGCAAAAATATACAGCTTTGGAAAACGAGAGAAAATTTTCATTTCAGGTTATTAAGGCAGAAGAAGGATTGCAAGAGCATAATACAGTGCAGAATTCCTTGTGGATTACGGATAGTACAACTTCAGCAGCGACACCAAAAACACCTTATATGCATCATGTGACAACCACTGCTTTGCCAGCTCTGGGAAGTTCTGATACATCTTCCAGTGCTAACCTCAACAGTAATGCAATGTCAAATGGAACGTCAACATTGAGTAATGCTGCAGTTTTGTTAGGCATATTGAATCAAGGCACCGGATTCCAGCCTGACTCCACTGTCAGTGTTGCTGCTACTGCAGCCAACAACAGTTCTACATTTTCCGCCAGAATCCCTGCACTTCCTACATCACAAAGCATGATGGACTTCCCAAAGGCATTACCTGAAATGCAAATCCCAGTCAATTGTCTAAAACCATCATCAGATCTCACCTTAAATTTACCCGATTTCTTGAAAGTTATTTCTGAAGCTGCAGCTAAATCTGCGACAACTGCATCACTGAATTCTGCGAAAATGCTTACAAATGATGGTAGTGATGCTGTCGAGAAATTGAAATCAGAAAGCAAAACATCACAGAGTGAGTTTATGCATTTTCCAGTATTGACCTCTTTCAATAAGGTTTCAAAAAGCTTTTACTCTGATATGATGACTTTTATGAAGAATGAATCATAAAGTCAAATTTTGGGTTAAAAAGTGTAAGACATTTAACTAATGCTTATTCTTACAAATAACATTTCGAAAACAAATTATGGAATGATGGTTATGTACCTTTCTAAATAAATTAAATACCATTTGTATTCCAAAATTTTTTAGTTGAATGAATTAAAAAATGTGTCGATTTGGATCTTCATTTCATTTTCATCATTAACTATTTTGATCTTCATTTCATCTTTATTTGACAGCAATTTTTGTCTAGCAACTTGATATTGTAGGTTCGTCACCAACTTGTAATATAACTTGTTCGAATAACAAAATGGATAAAAATGCTTCACAAGCAAGCAGTCAGTCAGCAATGGTTTTGAAACGACGACGTTTACGAAGGCATCCTGTATGGCGATTTTTTAAGGATGTTGGTGATGGAAGTAAAGTAAGTGATTATTTCTGCAGCTTTTTCTAATCATAATAATGAATGTGAGGAGGAAAGATCATTGTATCATTTACGGTGTGTATTTATTACTTGTTTTTGTTATTTTTTTATTTTGTAATTTTTACGCTCTTTTGTTATTTTTTTATTTTGTAATTTTTACGCTCTTATGCGCAAAATTTTCAAATCTTTTCACGTGTATACATTTGCAGACAGTAAAGTGTGTGAACTGTTCATTCAGTACATCATCGCCGTTTAGTACAAATTTAAAAATGCATCTCAAAGCTCATCACAAAAGTGATTACCGACTAATTTTGATTTTGGAATCAAGGCAACGTCTGGAAGAGGGGATCAGCCCTATTCCAGAATCAGGCCAAAGTTCTCAGTCTGTCGGAAAAAGGTAATCTAAAAATTGGTAGTAATTCTTATCGATATTGTTTTTGAAAGCATGTTCATTCAAAACTGAATTTGATCTATTTTTTTATTAAATTTGTTACTATGCAAAATAATTCGGGTAAATGCTTGTTGTCTATGCTTATTTAATCAACAGCCATAGATTATTACTTCTGTCAATGGTAAAGGTGGAGGTAATACTGATATATTTCTGTTGTTTTTAAAGTTTGTATTCAAAAATAATTGTCCAAGAGGTCATTTTTTGAGGGAAAATAAATAATACAATATTATTTTAGCAGTTCAATTAATTGATATGAAACAATTTTTAAAATTAAATACCTTTCCGAAAATTTGACGTTGCAGAACCAGTACTGAAGATCCAAATATTAGCAGTGCAGATGAGGAACAAATTGAAGCAAAAAGAAGGTCTTTAAGGTTCGTGTAAAAATGAGCAATTTTGAAAGAATCCATCCACTTGCACTTTGTTTCTTGTCTGAAATTTGTTATCGTGAAACCTTTTGTCGTCGTCTAATGTAATCAAAGTTATTTGGATAAGGAATGTTGAAAATAGTATGTGGTCAGTTTTGATTTGCAAAATTTTAGTGCAAGTACAGGACATTTTGAAGATGACAGGTTCAAATCTATGACTAATACTGAACGTGTGAAAGCAATGATTGAGATGGCTGCAGCAAGTCACACACCGACTTCTGTAAACTTGTCAGGTTAGTACTTTTTACAGAAGAAAGCAATGTATTTACGGTTGCTATGAATTAGCATATCTAATCTAAGAGGTTTGAATCATATTAATTGCAAATATGCATTTGTAGTAATTGCAACGAATTCTCCTATTACTTCAGGCATTAAATCGCATTAATCCTTGAATTCATTTTGATTTCTTCCCACGTTTATCTTGGAAACTAACTCATGCATTCGAGATGAAATCGTATAGCTTACATATGTTCAGTCTTTTGCTTCACTTATTATTGTCAAATCAATTCTCAGTCTCTTAATTATCACCCTATTTATCAAATCATGTGTTTTAACTGATTAATTAATTTGTGGGGATATATGTTACTAAAATATTTTCTTCATAATCGACTTGCATTATACTTTTGCAGAGTATAATGCCGATTTCACTAACTTTGACGAAATAAATAAAAAAAGTGTTTTTGGTTCTGAAGATACATCATCAAATTTAGTCGATACCAATCTATTAGCACGTCTCGGTTTGGTGAAATCAGAGGCGTTTCAGCCGAAGCCACCGCTGCAAAACAAATTTTTGAATACTCAGACAGTGAATGCAGAAAATGTAATTCGAAGTCATCTGACAAGCCCTTCATCTCTGTCAGTTGCTTTAGATACGACAAAGTCTGTCAGGTATATTTCTTTTCTTAATTTTCTATATTTACTTGCATTCATTTCTTCATTAGAAATTTTCCGTTTCTTACGAAAAGTTATTTTTGATTTGGACTTTTTTTTCAGTTCCT